AAAGATATGTATCACACATGAATTATGAATTTTTCTTCCAGTGACCTTGAACTTCCCCAAATGACCTTGGGTCAAGGTCATGACACACCCTTCGGTCATGGGCAATCTTTGTGTGAAATGAGAACTTACCAAGTTTATCCATAAGAAAGATATGGACCGGACACGAATTATGAAATTTTTCTTCCAGTGACCTTGAAGTTCCCCAAATGACCTTGGGTCAAGGTCATGACAAACCCATGGGTCATGGGCAATCTTTGTGTGGAATGAGAACCTACCAAGTTTATCCAAAAGAAAGATATGGACCGGACATGAATTACTAATTTTACTACCAGTGACCTTGAACTTCTCCAAATGACCTTGGGTCAAGGTCATGACACACCCTAACATCATGGGCAATCTTTGTGTGAAATGAGAACCTACCAAATTTATCCATAAGAAAAGATATGGACCAGACACAAATTAAGAAATTTTTCTTCCAGTGACCTTGAAGTTCCCCAAATGACCTTGGGTCAAGGTCATGACACACCTTTACGTCATGGGCAATCTTTGTGTGAAATGAGAACCTACTAAGTTTATCCATAAGAAAGATATGGACCGGACTTGAATTATGAAATTTTTCTCCAAGTGACCTAGAAGTTCCCCAAATGACCTTGGGTCAAGGTCATGACACACCCATGGGTCATGGGTAATCTTTGCATGAAATGAGAACCTGCCAAGTTTATCCATAAAAAAATGTGGACAGGACACGAATTATGAAATTTTTCTTCCAGTGACCTTGAACTTCCCCAAATGACCTTGGGTCAAGGTCATGACACACCCTTGGGTCATGGGCAATCTTTGTGTGAAATGAGAATCTACCAAGTTTATCCATATGAAAGATATGGACCGGACACGAATTATGAAATTTTTCTTCCAGTGACCTTGAAGTTCCCCAAATGACCTTGGTTAAAGGTCATGAAAAAACCCTTAGTTCATAGGCAATCTTTGAGTGGAGTAGTAGATTCTAATGTCCCTCCGTAAGAAAGATATGGACCGGACACGTTTGCACAGACAGACGGACAGCTAGACAGACGGACGGACGGACAGACAGACGGACAAGGTGATTCCTATATACCCCCCCAAACTTTGTTTGCGGGGGGTATAATGATTTTTCACAACTGTAATACTAGTTTCTACCAGGTATTTATTAATGTACATAATACTTATCCTAATATTTTTTTGCGGACAGTCATGAATTCTTTCTGGTAACAGATAGTAAATTGCGTCATTTTACATTGGTTGAAGTTACCCACTGATGCCATATTCATGTAGGGATAACTTCGGCCGATTTCTGTTCAGCTGATTTGCAATTTAATTTGTAAAAACTAATAATTACTATAAATTTAAAGGGTATAAATTTCATATTTGATAAATGTCACGCAAGGAATATCCATTCATTGTCTTTCTATACAAGATTTTTCCGAGGTGATAGTTCGTCGTAGTGGCAAAAAATATACTCGTCTGTAATTTTTTCGGGTGATATAGTCTATTCTTTGATGTAATTTTCCAATAACGATCTTAATAACGCTCATGGAAATAAAATTATTTTGGACACAATATATTAAAAATACGTTTTCTTTCTGCAGAATATAAATGTACATACACAATTATACACCATAAATAAAATATTTTAAGGTATTTATGAACGGTCGAAATTAACCAGGTGGTCGAAATTACACCACCTTACCCTAAATTATGATTGTAATTAAACAAACACTGCATCATCATTGACAGCATTTTTTTCTCATATTGAATTAATAATGTTTCTTCTTCATTTAAATTGGCCAGCTATATTAATATTGTGCTTTAAATAATCTCATTTTTCACGACACAACTTTGTTCGACCGAATTTTCTCTATTTGTTAAACTTTAAACAAGTTGTAAGAAAATTAAACAGAATTACAGTCTAGGAAAAATTTCATAATTTTCGTAAAAACCTATCATAAATTTATTAACAACTAAAAAATTATATCTCTGGTCTGTACTGTATCGTACTATTTTTGGGTTGAAACACTTAATATTTTGATGCAGTACGTTAAAGTCACATTTTTCTGTCCATTGTGTGTAATAGATACAGCACAGACTGCATGGTTGTGAAGTATCTATGACATGATCCACATTCCTATTTTGTAGTCTATTCTCTTATACATTTTCATAGCTCAGGGTACTCAGTTTGAGGGCGAATGGTACCAAGAGATATTTGTTGTCCTCCTCGGCGGCCATACTTGTAATGAAAATACGAAACTATGGCTCTACATGTATAATGTAAAAAAAATTCTAATTCATTAAATGATATAACTTATATCAATTAAAAAAAAATTAATTTCAGTGAAAAATTATTCAGATAAAGTTTGTTATTTTTTGTTAAAGAAAAATCTTGGCAATTCGAAACTATTTCTTAATTAGCTCTGCATTACACTTTTTAAAAGGCGAAAACTTTGAAACACGCGAGACGTTGGAAAGTGAATTGGTAGAGTGGGAGAATTATTAGGGTAGTCATTCTTTGTTAACCTTTGAAGAAAATAACAGAATTCAAAGAAGGAATATCCAGAGGATCAATTTACTTCATAACTGCAGATATGAGTGGTGAGTTATAATAAAATGGAGGCAATCGCTGAATCTGTGAGATATCTGTCTGTAGATGTTACTGTCTATTTGTAAAAGTTATGTCTTTTTTAATGAAAATTTTATCAAACTTTGTTATGAGTAAGGATCCAACCACATTCAATAATTAAAGATTGAGGCTCAGATCATTAAATTCATCCTGTTCTGAGTGACCTACAACATGGCGGGCAAGGGAAACAGGCTAAACTCTCGCTTGGAATGCTTTAAAATATGGCAATGCCTATGATGCAGAATTAAATGAAACAAGTATGCAAAAAATGCAATTGAATTAGTCTTAAGTTTTTCACATTCATGAGCATTTTCAGAAAATCTTTGTTCTTGTAGGGAAAAGAGAAGCAGTTCACAGATAGTGTTGATGAGTTGAGATCAGAAGATAAAAAAAACTCTGGCTGCAAAAAAAAATCCACGCTCTTGAAGAAAAACAAAAGAAAGAAATAAAATATGAATAGTATTCAATCAAAGGATCCCAGTGATGAAATTCTGGAAATTCCACATGGAAAGCCAATAAGATTTTTTTAATTGACCACCTCTGCTCAAAATTCTTGAAAGCCCTTTTAGCTGATGCCCTAATTGCTGAACACACTTTTCTGCCAGACTTGGATTAAAAATCATTCCATTTTAGGTATACACTTTGAAATATGCTGAATAAGGAACCCACTCTCCTTTTGACCAAGTAAGGTTAAGGATTCTGCAAAGAGTCGCATTTGAATTGAAATTTTTCATAATTTTACCAGGAATGAACTACGTAATTCATTTATTATTGTTATCACTTATCAGAGTTGTCTACTTGAACAAAGATTTTGTTACCATGTTTTGTTTGAAAACAAAAATTGTGTGAAATCTTTCAAGATACTATATCATAAAATATTTTCTTTTACGGTTTTTCATTTTGCATAACTTATTATATTTTTGTTTACAAAGAAGCAAGAACATTCATGAATAGTTCATGAACATTCCTAAATAACTTTTACAAATTATTCATGAATAGTTCATGAAAATGCATTGAACTTATTAATATAATTCATGAACTTTTCTTGAAAGTTCAAGAATATAATTCAAGACCTTTTCTTGAAAGTTCAAGAATTATATTCTTGATCATTCTGCAGGCATTTAAAATGTCCAAGTTTGTTCATGAACAACAAATTTTTCTTGAATATTCTTGAACTTGGTTTTCATGAATAAAATCCATGAAATCATGAGTGTCCAATTTTAACTTCATGGGATCTTCATGAACAATTCATGAGCAGATTCAAGAATATAATTCATGAACTTTTTTCTTAAAAGTTCAAGAATTATTCTTGATCATTTCGCAGGGGTATCTCCCCTTGGAAGAGGGCATGACCCGGCCTTCATTTGAACAAACTTGAATCCCCTTTTCTCAAGAATACTTTGTACAACTTTGGTTGAAATTGGTCCAGTGGTTCTTGAGAAGATGAAAATGTGAAAAGTTTACAACAATGCCAAAAACGACAATGAGGAAGACAGACAACGGACAAATTTTGATCAGAAAAGCTCACTTGAACCTTCGGCTCAGGTGAGCTAAACATAAGTAAGAAACAGTAGAATAACAGTAGGGTCTTCCGAAGCGGAAGCTTGGAAAACCCTGATTATAATAAGAAACAGAAAAATCACTATAAGGTCTTCCATGAAGACTGAAGACATAAAAATGTCTTTCTTTGTTTGTTACTACAGGAATTAATGTAGCAGCTATTGCAGAAAAAAATTACATAACCCGGTTATGCAAGTTTATATGTATTTTTTTTTTTTTGCAACAGCTGCAACATTAATTTCTGTACTATCAACCATGGTATTTCTGGCATGAATAAAGGTTATCACACTATGTAGTAGGGATGGGTATCGCCAAAAAAAGTTTCTACAATGATTTTATATGAAAAGTCATTATTTTTATAAAAAACATGCTAGAAAAACAAAATTTTACTTTCTTGAAATTTTTATGTATATAAAATCAATTATGTTTGGACGGTAAGATGCCATTCTTTTCACTTTTTACAACATTTTTTTATACTTTCTGTAATTGTAATTTGAAAGATAGAACAAATAAATGAATAATTTCTGAACTTTATAATCTGTATACCTAAAGACCGGTATTTAGGTCTCCGTATCACGATACATATCATGCAACAAAAACTGCATGGTATACCGATAAAATCGCACATCCCTACTATCTAGTTTGTTGGGTACTACCAGGGATAAAAACATGGGAAAATATATACACAAGGGGCAGTGAGTTTGCCTGTATACCCTGGCATTCCTTCTAAAGTAGACAGGGTTCTTTAAGAAAGGTTTAATAAGTATTTCAATCAACTGATCTTTACCTTTGTCACACACTGCACACCTATGAGGTTCCTGTTTGGTATGGATAAGCATATGCCGTTTCATGTCACAGCGTTGAAGAAAAAGTCGCCCACACTCACTACATTTATATCGATAGTTATCCTACAAATTATCAAATATGAATAATATGGATTAGATAGTCATCCTTCCTTCTGTGAGAGTATTCCAGTAGGGGGTCAACATATTACCGCTACATTGCCAAATATTTCAACTCATTACCGCTACGTTTTATCAATTTTTCGACCGATCAATACCGCTACATTTTTCTAGTCGAAAACAACTCATTACCGCTACATATGGAATCAGCCAGGTATGCAGGTTCTGAATATAAGTTCCAATTACATGCACAATGTTTTACAGTTCTCATTTTACAATTTTTGAATTTTTGGCAATGTTGATATAAGTAAAATATATGACAGTGTCAGTAAAAAAGGTTAGGTTGCTGCCATGTAAGCATAAACTGCATCAAATATTTAGATATAATACATAGTCCATGATTTGTTGTATCTAATTCTACATAATTTGGAGTCGCGTGTGAATGTGGGATTTTGTATTTCAGGGGATACAGGTCTTATGCATGTATATGTTGTACTTTACATCAATCTGTACACGCACAAGTGGCTGGCTAACGAAATGCGCAATGTAGCGGTAATGTATGCTTTTATATGTAGCGGTAATGCAATGTTTTTTTGTAGCGGTATTAAATGACTATGTAGCGGTAATGGAAATTTTGAAAATGTAGCGGTAACAATACGCACCCTTCCAGTATAAGGAAAACAAAATGGTAATTATCACTAACTACTTGATCTCAGCTTTAATTTAATTTAATTTAATCAATATTTTATTATGTTAGATTACATAATTGGATTGGACATCAGGCATGGCCTATATAAGTCCTCTCCAAACTTTATCTCATTTTTATGAAAACCAGAAATATCTCTATAGAACATGAATGACCTGAGTGTATAAAAGTAATGCAACATGAAAATTTGTATAATAAGTGTGTGAAGTTTGATGAGAATATCTTGAATTATTTCTTTTTAAAAGATTGAAATATATAAAATTCCTAACAAATTATGTACTGACTGCATAAAGCTTATATAAAACTATCTTCAGGTCAGTTCCTTAAAAATAAATAATTTTTTCCAAGAATTTGTTCTTGAAGTTATATTTCAGTGTGATTTGTAAGATCGGACTCGGTCTACACAAAATACTTGTATTATTAATGAGAAGCAGACAGAAATGTTAGAAATTGACAAATTGTTTAGTTTCTTGCTTAAATGTTTGTTCATTTTTTTCTTTTTTCATGAAATAACTTGCATGTAAGTATTTTAAGAGTGCCCCTGACTGCTCATAGAATCACAATCAACAGTTACTTTAATTGTAACTCGCAAATCATAAATCTTTGTGAAAAGCACTTACATGCAACATTCAAGTTTACGTCTACGTTTATGAGCTACAACCTCTTGCTTAAGCAAGTTTCTTCACAAAAAATTAAGGTACTTTACCAGGCATTTGGGCTAGATAACATAGGGTAACATTTCTTTTATTATTCTAAGCCTTATGGGTAATCTTCTGAATGGCCTATATCACAATTTTTTTGTGTACTAATATTTAAAAAATATTGAAAATGATGTGGAAATCACAAGGGAATGACAATTATGCATTTTTAAAAATTAATACCAAGAGATACAAAACATACATTTGTTAAAACATGTTAATTGACCTTTAATGGTTAATTCTTATAAAGTCAGCAAAATAAAAATTAAAGACAAGAGGCCCTAGGACCACATTGCTCACCTGAGTACTGAGGCTAAGAAAAAAGCAAACATCAGTTTAGTATTTAAAAAAAGCTTAAATTCATGAGTGGTCCATACCTACCCCTAAAAGGCAGAAGGGGTAAGGGGGAGGGGGTACAATTTGAACAAACTTGAATCTACACTATCTGAGGATGCTTCCTAATAAAATGACAAACCATGGCTTTTCTGATCTTGAGAAGAAGATCTTATATATACTCCTATGTTAAACTTTGATCATCCATTGTGTATCCACCCTATCCAGAAGGTCATGATTTTGAACAAACTTGAAATTCAATCTACACTACCTGTGGATGGTTTCAAATATGAACAATCATCGCTTTGGTGCTCTTGAGAAGAAGACATTTGAAGATTTTCCCTATATACTCCTATGCTAAACTTTCATTGCCCATTGTGGCTCCATCCTACCCCCAAGGATCATAATTTGAACAAACTTGAACTACACCACCTGTGGAATCTTTCACATAAAGTTGACCAACCATTGTTTTGATGTTCTTAAGAAGGAGATTTTTAAAGATTTTTTTCCTATATTTTCCTATGTTAAACTTTGATCATCCGTTGTGGCCCCACCCCTCCGACGGTTGTCATATTTTGAACAAGCTTGAATCTATACCACCTGAGGATGCTTTCATTAATAAATAATATGACCAACCATGGCTTTGTTCTTGAGAAGAAGATTTTTAAAGATGTTTCCTATATATTCCTATGTAAACCCTTGATCGTCCATTATGTGGCCCCACCCTACCCCTACCGGTCATGTTTTAAACAAACTTGAAACTACACCACCTGAGGATGCTTCCATTTAAATATCACCAATCATGGCTTTGCTGTACTTGCGAGGAAAATTTCTAAAGATTTTTCCTTTATATTCCTATGTATTCCTATGTATAACTTTGATCATCTCTTGTGGCCCCGCCCTATCCCCAGGGGTCATGATTTGAACAAACTTGAATCAACCCTACCTGAGGATAACACCACATGAGTTTCATCAATCCTGGCCCAGTGGTTCTTGAAAAGAAGATTTTTAAAAGATACCATTAAAATTTCGCTTATTCATAATTATCTCCCCTTGGAAGAGGGCATGGTCCTTCATTTGAACAATATTGAATCCTCCTAACCCAAGGATGCTTTGTGGCAAGTTTGGTTGAAATTGGCCCTGTGGTTCTTGAGAAGAAGATGAAAATGTAAAAAGTTTACAACTACAACAACAACGATGATGACCACAACGACGACAGACAACGGAAAATTTTGATCAGAAAAGCTCACTTGAGCCTTTGGCTCAGGCGAGCTAAAAAGTGAAGTCAAGGTCACAGTAAGGTGCAAGTAAAATTTTTTATGCAGTTGAATAGCTTAGGAAGATTAACCAGTTCACTCGTCTGGAAAATGAATTAAGGTCAGATTCAATGTCCTAAGCAAGCCTGGTTGTATGCATCCTTAGATGTATCATCTGGGCAAGTTTGGTCATCATAGGGCTAATAGTTACTTGGAAATAATGCCTGTTATACTGCTCAAAAAACATTAAGCTGGTCATTCCTTTGCTGAAATTGCAGCATCTGAAACCTTATCTGGTACAGTATGAAACACACTAGAGGCATCTTCCTACATGTCTGATCAATATCATAAAGGTACCTGGGACGCTGACCCAGAGGGTATCAAGTAAGCTCCCCCAACTTCACTGAAGTGAGCTAAAAATGGCCCAAATCAAAACCTTTTTTTACACTCCAGGACAAATTTTTTTTTTTTTATTCCTCTTAACCCATCAACAGATTTGTTGAATTTTTCTGGAAAAAAGATTTTTCAAACTATATACCAACTCAATAGTTTTCCCCTGAGTTTGAGGCAAGAAATCATTATCTTAAAGATGATCTTATTAATAATTACTGTAAATCTTGTTTTATTTGTGTGAACTTTATTTTTGCGTTATAATGTGGGGTATGAGTGAGTGTGCTCTTGAAAATTTCATTCTCGCATATTTAAGTATTCCTTTGGCTATACAGAGTAATATCCACAATTCGTGAAAATATTGACTTGCTAATAAAGAGTTAATACATATATAGCGAAAAATAGGTGTCGCGAAAATTAAGAGATCTACAGTATGAAAAATAATGTAGTAAGCATCACACGCTATCACAAGTAAAGCAATTCATCGCAATGCAGGTTTATGAAAATGTAATGTAATAAATGTACATATCATATGAAATAAACATGAAATCTGGATTTATTTTAAAATACTGTATACAGGGTTATTTTTGCCCCGTGGTATTTTTGCCTTTTAACACTTGCTAACAATTTTGCCCTCTTTTAATTTAGCCCAGTCACAGTTCTGTTTAAGAAACAAGAGGCCCAGGGGCCACATCGCTCACCTGAGCAATTGGCTAGAAAAAAGCACATATCAGATCAGAACTGAAGTTTACTGAGGGCGGGGAGGGGGGGGGGTAGGGGGCTTGAATTCTAACCCCCCAGGGGGTCATGATTTGAACAAACTAGAATCTACAATACCTGAGGATGATTCCCTATGAATATCACTAAGCATGGCTTTGAAGTATTTGAAAAGAAGATTTTAAAAGGTTTCCCTATATATTCCTATTTAAAACTTTTATCGGCCATTTGGCCCCACCCTACCCCCGGGGGTCATGATTTGAACAAACTTGAATCTACACTACCTGGGGATGATTTCACAAGAGTTTCATCTTTCCTGTCTCAATGGTTCTTGAGAAGATTTTTCCTATATATTCCTATGTAAAACTTTGATCAGTCATTTTGGCCCTACCCTACCCCCGGGGGTCATGATTTGAACAAATTTGAATCTACACTACCTCAGGATGATTCCATATGAGTTTCATCTTTCCTGGCCAAGTGGTTCTTGAGGAGAAGATTTTTAAAGATTTTTCCTATATATTCCTATGTAAAACTTTGATCGGCCATTTTGGCCCCACCCTACCCCCGGGGGTCATGATTTGAACAAACTTGAATTTACACTACCTGAGGATGATTCCACATGAGTTTCATCTTTCCTGTCCAAGTGGTTTTTGAGTAGAAGATTTTTAAAGATTTTTCCTATATTAATTCCTATGTAAAACTTTGATCGGCTATTTTGGCCCCACCCTACCCCCGGGGGTCATGATTTGAACAAATTTGAATCTACACTACCTGAGGATGATTCCACATGAGTTTCATCTTTCCTGGCCCAGTGGTTCTTGAGAAGAAGATTTTAAAAGATTTTTCCTATATATTCCTATGTAAAAATTTGATCGGCCATTTTGGCCCCACCCTATACCCAGGGGT